CGAACCAGTTGGAACTGATCTTGACCTCGGAGGTTGAGAATGCAAAATTCGAATGATTCAGGGGCACTTTGATTCAACCCTGTGGATGGTGGAACTGAATCACTCCTCCAGGTCCAGGCAGAGATGTAATGCCCATCAGATACTCGTCCGCTTCCCTTGCAGCCTGACGTCCTTCCGTGATGGCCCAAACCACCAAACTCTGACCTCGACGGCAATCTGCATCAACAATGATAAACTAACAGGTAGAGACAATTTCTTAAAAGCTTACGTATCTTTGGTTCTTCGAAATAACGTCTGAGATAAAGCTTATTCGTCCATTTAAAGAAGATACATTCTTGAAACATTTTTCTAGCGATTCAGTTGGTGGGAAGAGATTTTTCAGACATATTGAAATGCAACTTCAGAGGCTAAGTGCAGTTGAAGCAATTATTTTACAAAGATCTAAGATTTTTTGAACATACGTGGATTCTGCTTGACCTTGAGTTTTTTTTAGATGAGATATCGTTGTTAAAAAATTCGTGTGATGTTAGTTCGTGCTGCAATTGTAATGTTATGGGACTTTTTCAGAAAAAAAAAAAGATTTACTGCAAATTTTTCAATGAGCTTTTTTCATTCATATCACGGGCTATTGAAACTTTTTCAGGCCATAGAACAAATAGAAAATGTTCATGTTGTTCCTAGCATGAACTTTCGTACATTTTGTGTGATTCTAAATTTTTTAAATGCTCATTTTGCATCTTTCCAAGAGCAAAGGTTCATTTTAAATTTTTTATTTCCTCTTAAAAAATCATCATCTAATGCCTAATTTTTCCATTACCTTGAAATTTCACAAAACTTCCATTTATATTTTTTTATTTTCAACTGGAAGAAAGTAAAACAAAGGGAAATGGGATGAGGAGCGAAATCTGCTCAAACGGGAATTATCCGACTTGGGCAGACTCTTCTTATCCTGCTTTCAGACTCATAAAATTTTATTGTAAGAAAAATATCCCAGGCTAATTGGATGATGTGTTTTGAAGAGGAAATAAAAAATTGAACTCTTGCAAAAATACAACATTTAAAAAAATTTAGAATTACACAAGATGTAGGAAAGTTCATGCTAGAAACAACTAGAATTTTCTAATCGTTGTATGGCCTGAAAAATTTCAATAGCCCGTGACATGAATGGATAAATCTCACTGAAACTTGAAAGTTATTATTTATAAAATTGGATTTACTGCAAGATAAGAACCTTACAATTGCACAGGCTACATAATAAAATACCTAAGGTCAAGCGTCAGCTAAAGTGGGACAATTGTTGTAATTTGAAGATTATTTATATTTTACATCAAATAATGTTTGATAAAAATATGTAAGCAAAAAAAGTTTGTCTTAATTACAAATGCAAGTTGTATTTGAATTCAATTTTAGTCTGAATGATATTCTTTGAAAATTTGTCAATCTACTTTCTCTTGGTAAAGAATATTCCAGTGAGCCAAACAAGTAGAGCCGAATGTTGGGTCGTACCAAATTGTGCCAGATCCAAGTCCACCATCTTTCTTCATTAAATTGAAGGGCAATATTATATTCTGCCCCATGCATTAAGTAAGTTGTCCCTTTTCATTCATCTTCCCCTGAAGCCAATAAATATGAAAGAATGGTGGACCTAATGGTCTGGCACAATTTGGTACACAAATAGCCATAAAAATGGCGTCCAACATCCGGCACTACTTGTTTGGCTCACTGGTTCCCACCCTCCCCACTCCTTGCTGAAAAGATGAATTTATTATTCATTAATTAAATGCACTTTCCAAAATAATAAGTTTCAAATAAAAATGGCGTCCAACATCCGGCACTACTTGTTTGGCTCACTGGTTCCCACCCTCCCCACTCCTTGCTGAAAAGATGAATTTATTATTCATTAATTAAATGCACTTTCCAAAATAATAAGTTTCAAGACATAATCCAAGCTTCACAGAAAAGTTTGCCAATTAGTCACTTTAAAATCATTGAATGAATTACAGAATCTACTTTCTTTTATTTGGTGGCACCCGCAGTTTGTGCCGAATATTTCATCTCAACAAATCTTTTCTAATTTTCATATCTTGTACCAAATACCCTCAGTGCAAACATCCTCCAATGAAAATTGATTGCAATAGTGTTCTCATGAGGCATCAAAATGACTCATTTGGAAAGATTTGTTGCGATGAAATATACAGTAATTTAAAAGTTAACTTTTGTTACATTTAAATGCACTGAAATTGAACCTGAATAAGTTTTAATTTACAACTATGTAGTACACTTTGAAATTTAGGGCAGCAATTTTCAGTTTTATAAACCAGTTAGTTGTACCGACCTCCAGCAGCGAAGACTTTGTCCACAGAAGTCCGGTATTTCCCAGCAGGGGTCTTAATATTCGAGCGTGCGTCCTTCTCCATACCCATGTCCGTAATTATGTGAGATTCGGGTCCAAGGAATCCCATAGCCAGTAGCACCATGTCAGCTTTGATAAAACTTTCAGAGTCGGGGACTTCCATCATGTCCCACTTGCCCGTCTCCGAGTCTTGGGTCCACTTCACCTTCACCGTTTTGATGCCACACAGTTGCCCGTTCT